ACGAAACCGTTGTAGAATCATCGATAGTGCAATTTTAGCTTCATTGACAACCATGACATTGCCGACACAATTTCGAGGACCCAATCCAAAGGGGATGTATGCAGCTGATGGTATATCTTTAGCTGTTCCCTTGGAAAATCTTTCTGGTTTGAATTCATGGGCATCTTCACCCCATATTTCAGTATCATGATGAACTGCAATTGTTGAGGTGCTTACATGAATATTGGCAGGGACGAAGACATTCCCCAATTTCACCTCCTTTCTAACCATCCTTGTCATGGGTGAGGTTGGAGGATATAATCTTAGAGATTCCTTGATGATCATGCCCATCTGCAACACCAGAAAAACCAGCTCTCAATTCTTCATTAAGAATGGAAGAAAAACAGTCATTGTAAAAGAGAGAGGAAATGGATTCCCCCATAGAGATTGTAGACTATGGAAAGCTGGAAAGAGTTTCATTTTCCAAACATTACAGTTCAGTCCAAACTTTCCTGAATACAATGAGGATTTAAACAGTGTAAATTTCAATGCGGGCTACTAAATCTAAAATCAGACTGAATGTAAATCTCTATTCTAGATGAAGATCAACCACCAGATCTCAATCTAAGACTAAATCAAGGATATGGGAATTAGGTGCTTATCATCATCTATCATAGTCCTTTGGGAATTTTGCTACGCCAACAATCCTTAAGCCTACTAAATAATGAAGTTGGAGACATGCTTACAATCTTTAATTTTGCGATGCCCTCTAAAGTTGGATTTGTGTTGCCAAATATATTAAACACTTCCTTTCTTGCTTCTTCTTGCCAGTCCACATGAGTTGCTAAAAGAAAGGAAGTCCAAGTAAGCAGAGAATTGGTAGTTTCTTGCCCCGCAAAGTATATGGTTTTGCATTCATCTACTGCGTCGTCAACAGAAATCCTCTGCCTCGGGTCAGGGTCATTTTTTGCCTTCAAAAGTAGCCCAAGAAAATCATTACCATAGTTATCTGCTTCACCACTCATCACCTTCTCTTCTCTCTTTTTCATAATTGAAACTATGGAATTTTTAATCCTCATTTCAAGCTCATCTCCCTCCCGCGCATCCTTCGATTTGAACAACTTGCTGCACACAAATCCAATAATTTCGTTTACTCAGATGGTATCAATGCAAATAACCCGATTGTTTCAAGACTACTCAAAACAAACACCCTGACCTGATTCCAGGGATTCTCAGTTTGAATTGATTCTTAAATATTATCATGCTCAGCTTCCTCAAAGTCTCAAAAATAACCTTCCCTTCCAGATAACTACTTCCAAAAGCTGTATGTGCTATGATATCTGAAGTTAACACCTCAAACTCTTCAAACAAATCAATCTCTTTGCCTTCATGATGCGTCTTCCAGTTCTCCACCAGTGCCTCAGCACAAGAAACCATGGTCGGCACCATGTTCTACAAAACCATTTTCAACAAATTAAGCCAAAATCAAGCCACCATTGAATTTGAATCAGTAAAATTGTTAAAAAAGAACCAAACTCTACTGACTTTCAGGAGCTCCCCATGGAAAGCGTAGTCAGCGATTCTTCGAACCTTAGCCCATTTTTCACCGTCGGAAATGGAGATTCCAGCCCCCAATATCCTCCGCACATCTCGGCCGGCCTCAAATTTGGAAATAGCGCGCTCGCGGTTATGGAATAGATCCTTTACCATCTCGACATCCGTAACAACCAACTGAGCCCGGGTGCCATTCCAGTGATTGAAGTTTTTCCCTGAAATGAAAACCGTAAGTCTGTGTGTTTCGAAGAAAGTGGAAAATGAAGATGAGATGGTGAAGGCGACCGTGTTTGTGGATCCATAAGTGAACGTGAGGATGAACTCTTGGAAGTATGTGATGATCGGAGATATGGAGGGAGGTGCGCATGGACTCAAACTTCATCCTCATTATCTGAATTTCATTTCCATAGATGAAGTTGGGAGGAGGACCGCCGATTCCCTGCGATCGCATGATACGATTAATCCGATTAGGGTTCCACCATAGCTTGTGAAAAAGCTTGATTAGGACATAGAAAATGGAAGAAGCAGAGAGAACGCCGAGCAGTAGTAAGAGGGCAGCCATGGACAGTGGCTCACTCAGTGGAGAGAGTTCAAAATCACAGAATGAATTGAAATTGAAACTGAAACTGAAAACATGGGCCTTCAATTCCTCATTTTTGAGTTCAGAATCAAAATTTATGGTTCTTCTTGTTCTTGTAGCGCGGTAAATTACAAATTCTGCCGCTTGCATGGTTTCTGTTGTTGATTTAATTTGGGAGTACCTGTCATTTTGTTCCTCCTTTTTTGTAATCGTGGACGCAGACAGCGGGGACGAATTCCAGTACCTGTCATTTTTTCCCTCCTTTTTCATTATAGTTTCTTCTTTTAACTATACATATTTGAAAATATAATTACTGAGTATTTCAAAGCTTTATTATTTTTCTTGTATTATTATACAGATAATTAAATCTTATTTTATTTTCAACAAACTAACACAAAAGTATAATAATTTTTAACCATTGAGTTTATACCTAAAACTTTGGAAGGGTAACATTGGAATAATTAAGGTTGTGATTGGTACATGACTCAAAAATAATTTAATGTTTTCAACAATATTGAAAATATGAGGATACATCAAAGTCGTTTGGCGAGAACTTTTCAAAAATACAAAAATAAAATCGAAAATTATATTTTAAATATTTTGCTGTATTTACAAAATATATTTATGGATATGAAAAATATTTTATAGACAGTTCCAAATATGTCAAAAACATTTGGTAAATTTAGCAAAATGGCAATCACATTTAGTTTTTAAATATAGTATTTTTTTTATTAAAAAAACGGAAGTCCAATTTTAGAATGACAATTTTTTCAAAATGATATATATCTAATATATCTATAATATATTTGTAATATATATATATATATAAACATTTAATGTATTATTGATGAGTATCAGATATATTATTAACTAATATGAGTGTCTGTGCAATATGTATGTGATATACATCTAATATAATATTTATATGAGTGCTAATATACTACTAATATAAATATCTGATATACTACTAATATAAGTGAAATTTTTTACTATATTTGAAAATTTTAAAAATAGGTGACATATTTTGAAATATATAAAAGATTTTTTTGCTCCCAACTACAATTTTTTAATATTTTATATACGAGTAGTATCTTATTCTCATTCATTGTAAATTCTAAATTAATTTCATAAGAATTTAGAATTAAATTCAACCGTCTATAATTCCAAATTCTAAATTAGTTATATAACGACTATAAATAACGACCCCATAAAATGACCTAAAGTCCAAATGATTTTTTTTCCGAGAATATAACATTATAAATCTAAGAAGAAATTTAAAGTTTTTACTTCTTGGCATTAATAATTTCAAACTGTTCTATAAGCTTAACTAATCCAAACCAACTTCAAAATCTATAATTCCAAAGCACTTGTACTGCTATTGTATCCCAATTCATGCCACTTACCATCTATGGCATATGCATATTTTTTTTCTTCCTTATTTACACCCAAACATATGGTTTTGTCTCCAGTAATTCTTGTTGGTTTCCCTAATTCCTTCAGGCTGTGTGATCTGATATGGAATGAAGTATGAGCTGAAGTCCATGCTGTGGACAAATGGTAAGAAACTGAACCGGCGAGTGAGCATAGGCCGGCGACAGGGTGAAGGAATATCGCTGTAGAATCATGGACATCCCAATTTTGGCTTCCTTCATTGCAAAGTTCATCCCCACGCAGCTTCGACCACCCAATCCAAATGGCAGATATGCAGCTGAGTTCCTTTCTATGGCTTTGGCCACCCCTTCTGCGAATCTCTCTGGTTTGAACTCGCTCGCATCTTCTCCCCAATATGCCGTGTCGTGATGAACTGCAGCTGTCGGGATCGTCACCCGAATCGTGGCCGGAAGCACCAGGCTCCCCAATCTCACTTCCTTCTCCATTACTTGTCGTCCTACCGTCATCGCAGGCGGATACAGCCTCAAGCATTCGTACAGGATCATCGTCATCTGTAAAAGCTTTTGCTTAAGCTAAATATACAAAATGGTCTCTAATCTTTAAATTCAGCGGTAGCAACAAAGCTGTTACCGTTTTTAATTTGGGAAGGCCTTCTGATGTTGGATTCTTGTCCCCAAATACTTTGAAGACTTCATCTCTAGCTTGATCTTGCCATTGTTTATGCAGGGCCAGAAGAAACATAGTCCAAGCCAGCAAAACGCTGGTGGTTTCATGGCCAGCAAAGTAAAATGTCTTGCATTCGTCCACAATGTCATCCACAGAAATCCTCTGTGATTCTTCAGGGTCGTTTTTTGCCTTCACGAGCAATCCCAGAAAGTCATTCCCATACCCATCTGCTTCACCATTTATGAACTTCTCTTCTCTTGACTTGATTACTTCCATGAAGCAATCTTTCATTCTCTTTTCGAGCCGCTCTCCTTCAACATCATCCTTAGATTTAAAGATCTTACTTCACACATTGCACAAACAAAAACAGAACAATCATATCAAAGTTAGCAGCAGCGTCCATCCCTGTATGTTCAATTCAGTTCAGAAAACTAATAAATCCTACCGAATTCCCGGCAGTCTAATTTTAAACCCATTTCTGATTATTAGCTCGCACAGATTCTGCAGCATTTGGAAGATATTTTTTCCTTGTTCATAACTGCTCCCGAAAGCTGTATGTGAAATGACATCCGATGTGTAGACTTTGAGATGTTGGAACACGTCGAGCTCTTTGCCTTCATAATGCTTCCACTCTTCCATCATAGTTTCTGCACAACCAATCATCGCTGGGATCATGTTCTGCACATCCCAAACATGTTGCAGCTCAATCCAAGCTGGTAAAAAATTGTTGGGGTTGTAAAAAAAAGTCCTACTTCGACTAAATAAGGGAAAGATCATAGATATGTAGACGAGGACAATGACACCTTGTCCAAAACAGACAATATCATACCATTGTCGAGATACGCGTCGACAAAAACACGATGGACAGAAAATTAGAGTGACTTACTTTGAGGGTGTCTCCATGGAAAGCAAAATTGGCTATTTTGCGGGACTTGGCCCAAGTTTCACCCTCGGCTGTGACAAGACCATTTCCGAAGATCTTGTTTAGGAAGCCATGGAGTTTTGCTTTTGGGAATTTTTTTTGTCGGTCATGGAGCACCTCCCTGATCATCTCAGGGTCTGTAATGATCAACTGAGCCTCCACACCAAACCACTGAATGAAGTTCCTCCCTGTTTGCACAAAACAAACAACTCCATTCTAACAAATCAGATACGAAAAAGCTTTAAAATCTTAAGTTGATTTCTTTTTGGGTACCGTAACGGTGGAGCCAGGAGTGAGTATGAGGCAGAACTCGAGGGAGTATGCGATGAGAGAGGTCGATGGGAGTGGCTATGGCGTGGGTTCTTCTGGTGTGCATCTCTCTGGCGTTGCCTTGGATGAAGTTGTAGGAAGGGCCTTGAATCCCCTGAGACCTCATGAAGCGTTGGATCCTGATGGGAGTCCACCATAGCTTGATAAAGAGCTTGATGGTACCAAAAAGGAGACACCCAAATACAAAAGTCGAAACGTAGATGTTGATGTTCATCTTCATAGTATCCGTTGCAGATTTGTTTGGGTTTACAGAAAAACCTCACATCTAATTCACAACATATTTGATGAAATCAGAATCGGGAAATTTGATTTCATGTATTGATCTGGGAATAGCGAATTGAGAGAGAAGATAGAGATGAAGAGAAAACGAACCTCGTGTTTGGGTTTGGATCGGAGGATGACGACGCCGATTAACAAAACGACTGTCGTTTTGGAAGATGCAAGGACTAGACTAGGTCCACAGTGTAGGAATTGTTCAAATAATGTCAAGTCTAACTCCGGATAAAATATGAAGAAAATTTGTCTTCCAGTGACTACCTACTCTGTCCTTGTTCACATGTTTCATTTTGGTTATCATCGATTTTTTCAACTCTTTCTGAATCAAACATGATGAGAAATTGACACATTTCATTGAAAAATTTTTAGCGGTGGATTCTAACCATGGTGACTTTACTTTTGATTTCACTCAAAATGTGTTTCGTATCAATGCTGTCTTTATTTTTTGTTTCACTCAAAATGTCTCGTACAAATGAAGATAAATTGTCCTATCTTATATATCCATGATCATTTCCTTCCTTAACTTGTGTGAGACTTTGTTTGCATTTCCCTTACAAACCCAACACAATGGAAATAATTCTCCCTCACTTAAACTCATGATCTTCCTGATCAATGTGGGACTTTGGTCACATTCTCAACAATTATTTTGGTGACTTTCTTCTGATTTCTTGAGTTTTCGTTTTAAAAAATGAAAAAGAGATTCACAGTGAGAAGAAAATAGAACCCAAAATCCATACAAAATTCGAGCAAGTTTGAATAACACTTACTCGGGATTCATGGAAACTCGAGCTGAGTGCTAAGAAAATTTGTCCGATATTCATGCAAAACACGGACGAATTTGAACCAATATATATATTGTATGTATATATTGTTTTGACGGTCTATTTAGAGCTTATTCTACTATTCCCTAGGTCTCATGTTAGATTCTCTTGCGGATCAAAATATTAATTTTTATGCTGTTTTTTTTTTAATTTATAGTAGACATTCACATTCGAGCCACTAAGCAGAAGTGAATATTTTAAATATAATAATTAACATATGTATTAGAAAAATTAATTTCACTCGGTATAAGCCTAAAACTATTTCATAAAAACTCGGGTGAGTTTGCTTCAAACTCGTTCGAGTTTTCGTCCAATTTTGCTGCTTCAACCTTAAAAATTTTGAGAGGCATAATAGTCATTTCATCTATTCTTACCTTTCATAAATGTTTCAAGTGGATTGGAAAAAGAAGTTTTTAAAAGTTAGGTCATCCTAGCAAAGTTAAAATTTTTTTAGTTACATTTGTCAATTTTCTAAATATAATCTCAACCTGTCTCATTTAAATGTGATATCAGATTCATTTGTCTACCGTGTCACAAGATTAAAATTTCAATCGGTAAAACTTGAGGGTTGTATTTAGTAAATTTTTAAACTTTGTAAGGGTGTGTAATAAATTTATCCAACATTCAATTATCTATTTATTAAGTTTCTAAATTTTAATTTTATTCTAATAAATTCAACTTACACTTTTTTTATATTTGGAATGGAAACTCTATTAAGTTAAGAATCTATTATTATTTGAAAAGGAGCCGCACTATTAAATACTTTACATTTTAGTCAAATCGAGCATAGATCAAGTGGTAAATGCGCCTATCTCTAATAAAAAGTCATGAGTTCGAATCTCTACTCCCACATGTTGTACTTTACACTCGAGATTCAATGTCGATATCAATGAAATTACTGAGAAGCCCTAGAGAAATATTGGATGTCGATTTCTAAAGAAGTTATAAAAATAAAAATAAAAAACATAAAAAATATTTAACTTAACAAAGAATATATTAATATTATTTATATATTAGTGAAATTTTATTGATATTTAGATATTTTTTATATTTTTGTCCTTTTTTTTTTTTGGTAATGTCATGCAAATATGGAATGTTCAACCGATAAATAGATGGACATGTCGACGTTTAATATCGTGCTTACATTGAGTTGTACTCTTTTTTCCCTTTTAATTTCGAGAAACTTGTGTTGTTTTACAATCACCTCAGTCTGAGGCTTGGTGATGTGAAATGGAATGAAGTATGAGCTGAAGTCCATGCTGTGGGCAAATGGTAAGAAACTGAATGGGCGARTGAGCRTAGGCCGGCGASAGSGTGAAKGAATATCGCTGYAGAATCATGGACATCSCAATTTTGGCTTCSTTCATTGCAAAGTTCATCCCCACGCAGTTTCGAGGGCCCAATCCAAACGGCAGATACGCGCCGGAGCTGCCACTGCTCTCTGAAAATCTCTCTGGTCTGAATTCCGCTGCGTCTTCTCCCCAAWATTCCGTGTCSTGATGMACYGCMGCYGTCGGRATCGTSAYCYGAATCGTSGCCGGMAGCRCCAGSCTCCCCAATCTCACTCCCTTCTCCACCACTTGCCGCGTCACTGTCATCGCCGGCGGATACAGCCTCAAGCACTCCTTCAGGATCATCGTCATCTGCAAATTCAAAAAAGATCAAAACTTTGGGCCAAAAATTTCATATGGGTAGTGAAATGATTGGTTGATTGATTGATTGTTACTGTTTTTAGCTTTGGAAGGCCTTCTGGTGTTGGGATTTTGTGTCCAAATATGTTGGAGACTTCGTTTCTGGCTCTGTCTTGCCATTGGTTGTGCAGGGCCAGAAGAAACAGAGTCCAAGAAATCAAAGTGTTGGTGGTCTCATGGCCAGCAAAGTAAAATGTCTTGCATTCGTCCACAATATCATCCACAGAAATCCTGTGGGATTCTTCTGCCTCGTTCTTTGCCTTCACAAGCAATCCAAGAAAGTCATTCCCGTAGTCCTCTGCTTCCCCATTTATGAACTTCTCTTCTCTGGTCTTGATTATTTCCATGAAGCAATCTTTCATTCCCTTTTCGAGCCGATCTCCCTCGATGTCGTCTTTAGATTTGAAGATCTTGCTGCAATTTTATCTTAAGCTTTTGGATTCATTGATATTCGAAAAGAGTATAAACAAAACTAAGGTACCTGATTATCGGCAACCTAACTTTAAATCCATTTCTAATTGACAGATCACAGAGCTCTTGCAGCATCTGAAAGATGTTCTTTCCTCGTACGTAATTGCTCCCAAAAGCCGTATGAGAAATCACATCCAATGTGTAAACTTTCAAGTGTTGGAACACATCGACCTCTTTGCCTTCATAACATTTCCACCCTTGTAGCATCGTCTCAGCACAGCTGATCATATCTGGGATCATGTTCTATAGAAATCCAATTTGAAATCTTTTATAATTTTTTACCAAAAGCAAGCATACATGACTCCTTTGGTAACGCTTACGTTTCTTGTCTCTTGTTTTCAATTTTATTAAAGAACTTTAGTTATTTATTGTAAAATATGAGTAAAAGTATAGTTTTATGATTCTTGAATCCATAGGTATCGGGGACAATCAATTCTATTTTTCTTCATTATTAAAAGGAAACAGAAACAAAAAATGCAAACGTTATCAATCGGGTCCTATGTGGTGAGGGACTTACTTTGAGGTTTTCTCCATGGAAAGCAAAGTTGGCTATTTTGCGGGATTTGGCCCATCTTTCACCTTCGGAGGTGACAATTCCATTTCCAAAAATTCTCTGTAACATGTAAGGGAGTTTTGCCTTTGGGTAATTCTTTTGTCGATCATAAAGCAACTCTCTTATCATCTCCGGCTCTGTAATTATCAACTGAGCTTCCATACCAAACCACTGAAGGAACGTCTTTCCTACACGCATAAGAGAAAGAACAGATATCTTAACCGTCGAGTTAAATTTATACTAAAAGGCTAGCGGGTGTGGTACCGTATTGGTTGAGCCACGAGTGAAAATGAGGCATAACTCTAGGGAGTATGTGATGAGAGAGATCCATGGGAGTGGCTATGGCGTGGGTTCTTTTGGTGTACATCTCTCCGATGTTGCCTTGGATGAAGTTGTAAGAAGGGCCTTGGATCCCCTGAGACCTCATGAACCGTTGAATCCTCATGGGAGTCAGCCATAGCTTTGTAAAGAGCTTGATGATGATGATGCCAAAAAGAACACTCCCAAATACAAAACTTGGAATGCTTTCACTATCCATTAATGTCTTCTCCTCTGTTCTTTGAGTTCAATGCGTGTGTGTCTCATTTTAAAGCATTTGGCTTCAATATAATTTGTAATAGTTTAGTAGAAATAGTGGCACTTTGGAATCTTCCATCCTTGTTTTTAGAAGAATTATTAATTAGTTTGGTGTATGTATTAATTTAGGAAAGAAAACAAAAATTTAACTCATTACATCACCCATGAGCTCATTCTTGTTTACGTGGTGATCTGTTTTTTTTTTTCCCTGATGAATTGGGTTGAGTTTGATAATTTTTTAGATCTAATATTTATTTGTCTAGATTATAGATTTGAATTCACGGCTTTTTTTATAAGAATATATGCTTTTTAACTGGTTGAATTATAGTTAAATTAGCTCAAATTCAAATAATTTTAATCAAATTGGATTGATTGGTTGCATTGCGATGGAAACTTTTTTGCTGTGTTGTTTTAATTTCATTGTTATTGTCTCTCCTTTTCCATTATTAATATTTCTCTTGCGAACATCGCCCTCTAAAATACTTACATAAATGACAAAATGGGGAAAAAAAGACAATTCACTAACTCCCAATGATGTAAAGTCCATCGAGTATTAACCTCTATTGGAAGGTTGGAATTTTGTTCGTATAAAATTAATACAGTGATGCCAATTTCATAATCCCGTCATTTCCTCATCTTCCCGTTCATAATTTGATTTTCCCTTTTTGGGCAGTTTTTTTTTTAATAAATGAAATATATATGTTTTAATCGTTATTAGTGTTCGGCACATTTTCTGTAAAGTCGTATTTATTTTCCAATAAAAAATTAGGTAATTGTTTCAAAGTTGCTTATGACTTATTAGTCCTTCAAAGTGTTTCATTTTTCAGTTATTTTTTTAACGTATATATATATATATATTTAAACATTGATTTTTCACCTAGTTGATCAGTTCTGAACCTAATTCTTCCCTCCCATGAACATAATAGGATTAAATTTACTCTAATTTACCAACTTAAATTTCATGGTTCAAGCTCAAAATCGCACTTGCACTCGCCATTTTTTACACTCAATAATCTGTTTTACTGAGCGCGGCTTGGCTTGGGTTTTATAGAGAGAGGAAAAAATTTATATATGGGAATGGGAAGAAGACTAAGAGTCAGAGCTAATTCACTTTACAGTGTTTTTACGCGTCGTTTTCAAAATTAATCTTTTATCTTCTAAAATATTCTGTAAAATTTTATTAATCATGAATTTGTGATTTCCTTCTGAAACCACACCTGGAAATCAATTTTCATAACAAAAACAAAACAGAGAAATAAATAGCACGATTAAACCAACATATGCCCACTGTGTACTGATGTTTTCGGTTCAGATTTGTAAAGCTTGTATTTTAATATGAGTTAAAATATATTTTGGCCTCCCCTGCTTTGGGATCATTTTAATCTCCGTATTTTGAAAATATTTATTTTGATATCTGTATTTTAAACTTTAGTCTCTATATTTAAAAATGTTCATTTAGTCCCTGTACTTTTAAAAAAATGATCATTTTAATCTCCGTAAAATTTTAACATAAATTTTACAAATAATAGAAACTCTTTAGTATACAGTGGGAGCAAAATGATAAGCTCTTAGGAGTATAAGGACAAATCAAGAGACTAAAATGATCGGTCCTTATTATCATCATTATTATTTTGAAAGTAAAGAGATATAATTGAATATTTTAAAATTCTAAAAATTGAAACACACTTCATTTTCCAATCGTAAAAAAGAAATACACTTCCTTTTACGGGAAACAGCTACCGCAACTCCACATTTTCTTTCTTTTCCAATAATGAACAGATCAAAAAACTAATTAAGAAATGGTCATTAATGACTTCCCCTGCTTTCTACTCATCTGCTTCTTCACACACCCTCCCTTTTTTTTGTTGTCAAAATTTGTCCTTCCCCAAAAATATATATTCCCAAAAAAAAAAAGAAAAAAAAAAAGCGTGGGTTCTTGTACTAAAAAAATGAATAAATAAATTTTCATACTCCTATTTATAGCTTGTCAAATTATATATCATTTTAAGACTTATGTTATATAACTTATATTATATAACTTATATTATATTATATAGTACCACTGTGTGGCTAGAAATTACGTTCCAATTTCCATAGCGTCACAGGTGCATCACGACTCTCCAGGTCAATGCCCACTGATCTCTCGCCACGTGTATGGAAATCACCTGCTCTGGGGACGACGGCCGTTCCATTTAAACCCATATTCTGCTAAATCTCCTCAAATCGCAGAATAGCTGAAGCAAAAAAAGTTTTGCAGAACGATTTCTAGAACGGAAATGAGCGGCGAACCGGAGAACGGAGGGTCGAAGGCGGCGAAGATCGCCTTCTTGGGGTGCGTGGCGAGCCTGTTGTCTGCCGGCTCCGAAACTACCGCCCACCGGAAAACCATGAAGGCTCCGGGAAGAGATGGACATATTTTCAGGGATGAGTTTGAGGGGAACCCCTCCAAGTACTTCAAAGACCTGCGCAAAAAATGAACAAATTTCTCTCCACAACCTTCAAATAAATAATTAATGGGAGGTAGTGGTTAATTTTATATGTGTGTGTTTGCTTAATTAATTATGTTATGGGTTTGCTGTTTTTAATGAAGTAATGGAGAAATTGAAGCTTGATTAATGCAACTTCTTTGTCTTCGTGATGTCTTGTTCCTCTCTCTCGGACTCTTTAAGGTTATTTTAATTTGTGTCTGGACTTTGGATTAAGTGTATCATGTGTCAATGTTTGTGTTATTTGTATATATAAATCAAAGTTTTATTTTATTTTTATTTTTGTTTATTGAAGTAACCAAGCAGAGGTTGTTAATTGTAACCTGTTTTTGAAATAAAAATCTAGGAAGAAAATTTGATCCCCGGATTTTTAAGAACTAGGAACGAAAACGGCAGGTAATTAGTGCACCGGTCTACGAATTAAAATTGACATTTTAAAAATTTTATCAACTATTTTTTTTTCATTTCTAGTAACTAAAATTCACATTTATAAAAGTTGAAAAACTAAAATAAAATAAAATGAATTTTAAAGGCTAAACCTATACATGAAGACATTACAAAGTTTGTAGCTTTTCTTAAATACATATTTGGATTGTTTTCTGTTTCTTTTTACCCACGAAATTATGTAAAATTGTGAACACAAGTTATTGGTTATATATTGGTATAAGCATTTTAATCATTAACTATATAATAAAAAAAATAATGCAAACGGAAAAAGAAAATTCATCACATCTTGATAATGAAGATGTTATTATGTTAAGATATTTATTCGATTCTTCCTTATTTTTAATTAATATGGGATGATAATGACGATTTATGTTCTTATAAATAGTTCTCATATTTTATTTGATTTTTTTAGCATGCACTTTTCGTAACAAGTTTTAATACTAGACTTGCACCTTCTTTTTGTAGGATAACAAAAAAAAAATTATATTATAAACTAATGACTTATTTTAGTCTCTATCCTTTTATAACATTTACTTTGGTTTTTCATTTTTTTAAATTGGTTAGTTTGATCGTGAAATTTTAACATAAAATTTATATACAACAAAAATCTTTTTAATACAAAGTTATGCTATATTCAAGATAATATTGTCATTGTTATTACGTTGCTATAAAAAATCTGCTCAGTCAATACTTATTTTTTAAACTGCAGAGTTTAAATATAATTCACATTAATATATTAACTAGTTAAAATTAAAATAAAGATAAGAATCAAAATAATAATAGTTTTTTTTCAGAGTTCATACATAAGATGAAATAAATGTGAAAGTTTTCAGAATAAAAAAGATATTTTAAAAGTTATTTTTTCAAAACAATATTTTAAAATTTTAATCATCAAAGTGAAATAATTATTTTTTAATATAAGAAGTGGGATTGAAAATCGAACTCACAATCTGGAAGATATAGATCAATTATGACAAAATTGCTGTGGCAAAATAAAATAATTTAAATTTAAATTCCTTGTAATAAAAATATATGGAGGTTAAATTAATTTTCGTGGTTATTATGCCAGTCAAGTCTTCCCCTTAAAGCTATTAGACATAATTGGTCGGTTTGGAATCTGTTCTTTTCCTTTTTTTTCTTTTTCTTTTTTCTTTTCTTCTTTTAACTTTTTCATTTTTTGTTGCATCTGTTGTCTGGACTACAAATTCAAAATACAAGTAGGAATGAATGTTAGTATGTTTCCTGACAGGCACACGTGTCAAATCAAGAGAGGCCAAGTGTGGTGTAGGAATTTAAAGTGAAAGCTTAGTCATTAAGAAATTTAAAAGGAGAAGATTGAGTCGGTGACCGATCTAGCTATTTAAATCCAGTGGCTTCGCTGGTTTCCTTAAGCGTGGCACAGAGATCGAATAATTTTTTGGAAGAGAGAAAAATGGGCGGCGGTGGCGAGTTACCGGAAAACGGGATGGCGGCGACGGCGGTGGGGGTGGGGCTAGTGGTTTTATTTGTTTGGGAGGGAAAACCATGAAAGCTCCCGGGCGAGGCGGATACATCGACCGGGCCAAGTTCCAGGAAAATCCCAAGGCGTACTTCCAAGACCTCCACAAGAAAAGAACAAATTAATTAAATAAATTAATATGTCTGTGCGTGGCATGGTATGTGTAAAATAATTTGTTTTCTGTTTCTAATTAGATTTAATCTCTGTTTTAAGGGTTTAATTGTTTTAATTTCAACTGTTTTTTATCTTCTATATTGGCTTAATTCTTCTTCTCTCTCCAATTTTAATTTTGCCTTTGGAACTCGATCACGATTTCTGAATTAGAGCTGCTTAACTTTTAATCGCCAATTTGCGAACCCGTTCTTCAATCACATGTTTCAAAAACATCAAGCTNAAAAAAAGACACAAAAAAGAAACTCACTAATTTAATAAATAAAATAATGTAAAAAACTTAGGAAAAAAAAACTCACTAGTTTAATAAAATACAAGAAGTTTTCTCAAATAAAGTTGGATTAAAGCATAAAATCCATCATTAAATAACTACCGAATTTCTAAATTAAAAAAAAGTCTCTAATAATGTTTTATGTTAATCTAAACAATTTCCTACTGAATATATATTTTATAATTCATTAATTATATGAGAATATGTTTTCAACCATTTTTTAACAAAAATCTATTAAAGGTAAAAATTGCAACATAATTTTTTTTTGTAAAGATTTTAACGCTTCGTCCAAGTTTAAAATACAATTTGATGAAATTGAAATCTTAGACGGTAATAATTGATACACATTATAGAATTGATCTTTTTCGTTGCTGTGTCTAGCAAAATCAGCAAATTAAATTATTATAAATTAAGATTAAATATTGTATTAAATATGACAAAAACATTTATTAAAATTAGTTTTTTCAAATATAGCACTCAACAAAATGGATGGAGATCTAATTTTAGAATGACAATTTTACCCAAATGATATATATCTATAATATATCTGTAATATATTTTACTACTGATATATGTATATGATATATATCTGATATGCTACTTATATGAGTGTCTGATATACCTATAATATGTATGTGATATGTATTTGATATATTATTGATTTAAGTGTTTGCTATATTATTGATATGAGTATCTGACATAAGTGAAAATTTGTACTMTATTTAAAAATTAAAAAAAGTAGGTGACATATTTAAAAAAAATAAAAGATTTTTACTGCCGCTACAATTTTCCTAGAAGAAATAAGGTTGATTAAAAAGGGCTGAACTTAATTCATACGCAATAACTTTCAGCAAATGAGGACCTTTTTCAGCAAATGAGGACCTTTGTGATGTTGCAGAGGATATATTCGAACTATAATGATATCTTTTTAATTAATTGCTGGATGATTTATTAAAATTGAATCTTAAAAATTTCAATTTAAAACTTAATTAATAAATTATTGATAAATCTCTACCCTATTCATTATTGATGTATTTAAAAAAAAAAAAAAGAAGTCTTAAAATGAACGGATAAATTATCAACTTATTAAATTTAACATTTTGGTATGCTATTTCCATTTCATTCCTACAGTTTTATAGAAATGCCTAATTTAACCTCTTCCACACACATATATATATATATATATATATGGTTCTTTTAAGAACAATTGATATATAGTTGCACATATCAATAATCTACAATATATATTTAAAACTGACTGTATCTTTAAAATATTTTTTTAGTTTTTATGTCTAATTCTAAATTTCTAAAACGTTTCACTTACAAACCTCCATCACATATAAAAAAATAAAAAATAAAAAATTCCTAACTTATAAGAAAGACAATTTTAACATAATGCAGTTGTTACCATAGAGGTTAATGGTTTGATCATTCCCTCACAAATTAGTATATGAAAATTGAGTAAACAATTTGTGAGTTGGGTAACCTTACTTTTGTCATTTGAGTAGCTAATATAATTGATATAGTATAAAAATTAAAGGGTCCAGGACGCTATGAAATAAAAATTTTGATCTTTATATTTTTGGTAATCATTTAGTCCATCAAGTAATCATTTAAATTGGTAACCATTTAGTTCATTTTGTGAATTTTTTTGTTAAATCATTTATATATGTAAATCGATAATCCAATCAAAGATCAAATTTATTTGTAAATTACAAAAATTAAATCGTTAGAGGATAAAACTTTAAACTTAATTTTGATGTAAATTTTCGTCGTAGGAACTAAAATTGTTACAAATTTTAAATTTTAGGAACTATATTGTTACCTATAAAGTTTAGTAACTAAATTTAATCAATATAAAAGTAAAAAGACTAAATCGTTACCATTAAAAGTTGAAATACTAAATCACGAAAGTACATGACCAAATTATAATTCAAAAA